CTGTGCCACAGTAAAGGCAAAGGCCTTGGGACCTCCGCCTTTCCTTCTCCTCCCGGGAAAGCCGAGCTCGCCCGACCTGCATGGGCTCGTGATCGAAGACGGGGCTGACCGCGTCTCCGCCGCTGGTACGCAGGGTCTCCACTGCTCCAGACATCCGAGCGGGTAACCTCCTACGTTCGACTCGGGAAAGTCGGGAATCCACACGAAGAGCTAATTCGATCAGTCCATTGAGAGTAGTTGGTAAGTCCAGGGCATAAATCTCTCTTTGGACGCGGTCAGCCAGCCCATGCAGGAACATGTCCCACTGCGCCTCCTCGTTCCATTGACACTCAGCCGCCAACGTCCGGAACTCGATGGAGTAATCAGATACAGATCTTTCGCCTTGCTTGAGGTCTGCGAGAATCCGAGCCGCTTCTCTTCCTGCGACCGCACGGTCAAAAACCTTCTTCATCTCGGCGGCGAGTGTCTGGAACGAGGCGCAGCACGGATCTTGGTTGTCCCACACCGCCGTCCCCCATAGTGCTGCCCTCCCAGTCAGTAGCGTGAGCACAAATGCGACCTTGCTTCGTTCGTTAGCGAAGGTCCTGGGCTGTAGAGAAAAGTGCATCGAACAGCGTGTTAGAAATGCTCTGCAAAAATTCGGCTCACCGTTGTAAGGCTCAGGAACAGGTAGGCGGGGCTCTGACTGGGAGACGCTCTCTGGTGGTACGGGGGGAGCAGACGGTGTGGGTGGCGCAGTGGGAGCTCGCATAAGTTGGAATTGCTGGGTGAGCTCGGACACCTGCGCCACAAGAGCTTGAATAGCCCGACCCGACTCACTCATGTGCCTCTCCTGGGAATCCATCCGTGCAATGCTGGTCTTGACGAATTCCTCTAAGGAAGAGGAGGCTTCACTTGCTGCTTCCATTCTTGGTCAGATCGTTCTGTCACAATCACAAGCGGAAGCAATGATGCAAGTAATCTCTTTATTGAGAGGTTGAAAAGATAAATGTCCAAGCAACACGGGTGGGCTGGTGGCGCAGGGACTAGATGGTCAGCGTGCAGGTGAAGAGTGCTGGTCTTGAATCCAAGTGCAGGTGAACATCCAAACGAGACGAAACCGAGAAGACACTGAACAGGAACTCGAACCGGACCAGGACTGCAGACAGGACACGCGAGGAACAAACACTGTGAACACCAAACAACGATCTGACAAAGAGAGGAGAGTGTGATGAGTATAAATAGGAGAGATGATTTGCAGCAGCTGGTGCAGAGACTGAGATCAGCTGGTACGCTGATCAGCGGAACGAGCGGTAACGCCCCTCACACACGCTCACACACACATAACAACAATTACACGAGACATGAAGAAAACAGCGAATTCATGAACCGTGACATAAACTCGCAATTGTGAGATAAAAAGTCGCAATTCTGTCTTTTTTTCTCGCAATTGCGACTTTATTTCTCATAATTGCGACTTTATATTTCGCAATTGCAACTTTATTTCTCAGAATTGTGACTTCATATCTCGCAATTAACAGATAAAAAGTCGCAATTATTATTATTATTTTTTTTATTCAGTGGCGGAAACAAGCTTCCATACTGATATTTTACATTGGAATAATATTTCAAAATTTTTACTGCATTTTTCTCAAATAAATGCAGCCTTGATGAGCAGAAGAGACTTCTTACAACAACATTAAAAAATCTGACGACCCCAAACTTTTTAAACTGTAATGTATATTAAATATATGATAAGGCCAATGAAATGAGTCTGCTAGTGAGTCTATAAAAGGAAAAGCCCCAGTTGATGTCACAGTCGTGAGTCTGACAGGCGTATCCATCACGGCAGGATTGTATTTGGCTGCTGATCCTGCCAACTTTATCAGGAGTGTAAATGGAAATGCTGTGAGACCTATTTAAAGTCCATCAGATCGGTTTTTCCTGCAGGCTGAGAGACGCGCTTGAGTCTCTCACACACACACACACACACACACACACACACACACTGGAGTGATGCCAGGTTGGAGCTCGTGACCCAGAGAGGCTCACCTGCTCGTTCAGTCGAGCTGAGCGCATGATTTATGGCCCTGAGAGAAGAAATCTGTTCCTGAACTCACAGAGACGGCGGTTTAATGCGTCGTGGGTTCATGCGGTTTTCCTAACGACCTTTAATTTAAGTTTAGCTGGTGAGAAACTGGCCGTCTGATCTACTCGCTCTGAGAGGAAATAAAAAGGAGAGCAAGTGATTTCAGATTGTAAAATTTGTAAAAAGATTGGTGACCCAGGTTTGAGTGTATATTATAGAATATATATTATATATTAAAAAAAAAAGCTAAAATATTAAATTCATTGCATTTTATGATACATTTTAATATATATATATATATATATATAATAAACATATTTTTTTTGTTTATTGGTTCTATTATGTATGTTTTGTTTGATATTTTATTATACAGTGCTCAGCATAAGTGAACGCGCCCATGCTAAAGTTGACTAAAAAGAGGAATAAAAAATCATCTTTTGGAAATTGATCTTAATGCCTTAATTAAAAAAATGAGGAAAAATCCAAGCTTTAAGGACACCAATTTTCTTTGTGAATGAATAATGTATCGTAAATAAATAAATGTTCTTCCTTGACCTAGAGATCGGCATGTTTTATTTCAGTTAGTCTAATCGCTGGTCTGATTTGCACTGAGAGATGATCTTATGGAAATACACCATGCCGACTCTAGGTGTGTGAAGGGTGTGTGTGATGTGGGATATTTTAATCCCAAATGCTGAGGGAACTTTATCAGGATCATAGTGTCCCGGATCCATGAAATAACTGGCCTTTAAAAATAATAATCTGCCCCTCTATGGGACTTTAACACAGGGGTGTCCTGACTTATGACCCCTGTATTTCAAGGAAGAACATTTATTTATTTACGATACATTATTCATTCACAAAGAAAATTGGTGTCCTTAAAGCTTGGATTTTTCCTAATTTTTTAAATTAAGGCATTAAAGTAACAACAGGTAACTTTTCAACCTTCATAATATATTTCCAAGTCTCTTGTGATGGTACATCGACTTACAATAGGTTGAATGACACGTCTGCCATAGCCTGAAGGGGTCTGTAGCGTTTTTAATCGTACTTTTAAACTTCGGGTTTCGGGTAGTAACCGGCGAACAAAGAGAACTACAAAATTCGACTGCTTTACGGCATATACGTCACTTCCACCACCACCCCCACTTCCTTAAAATCGGACTTGCAGCCAAATGTTATAGTCATGGCCGAAGCAGCACAGAAAAACAAGAAAGCAAAGGTTTTATCGGAGCAAAGCAAAAAGAGAAAAAGAGAAAGTGATCGCGTTAAAGGCAGAACGAGGATCAACATTGCAGAGCTGCCAACTCTCACGCATTGGCCGTGAGACACCCGCATTTGATTGGTTTCACACGCTCACACGTACGCCACACCCCCGGTTTCTCACGCTAAATTGTCAACCCGGTCGGTCAAATGCCTGAAAGATGAGTTTATCTATAGATCTCTACCTGTTGAGCCACTCGTGATCGACAAGTTATACCGCAAATTAGTTCAAATCTCCCGGAATCTAGAGCGAGCGCGCACGCGAGACAGAGACTGTGCTCCAACGCGCGCGGACGGCAGAGAGAGAAAGCGAGCGAGAGACCTTGCGTGTGCAGGGAGCATCGAACGCCCCATCGAAAAAAGAATGCCTCTCTCTAACCTCTCTAATTCGCTAGAGTAGTAGCGAATTATCAATCTGGTAGCTAGTAAACGATATTCTAGTTTTTGATGGTTAGCTATCGCTAGTATTCTCGTTCTGATTTGAACTTTGCAATCGATGAAATGCAAATAGCAAATGTTTGACCTAAAAAGTGTAGTCTACTCAACATGTACAAAGAAAGAAGGAAGATTATTAATAAAATCATATTTTAGGATACCTAACATGTCTGTGATATTTGTTTATTTGTCTTGCCTCAAGCTATAATGCAAATCGATTTGTAAAATTTGCAGATTCATTTATGGTAGCTTATAATATTGACGATATATGGTTATTATCAACCACTCAAACATTGCATTGAAGTATCATATAGATCCAGTAAAACGGTAACCAATAGACTAGGCTACTATAATGACGCTGGCTTGTAAACGTGAGCATCGCGATCATTTGTCGTTAGAAAAAAAATAAAACCCATGAAATTATATTCATATGACATGCTGAAATATATGCCACTGTACCTGGGATGAAGACATTTCACACGCGACGCAAGCAGAACACCTGCATGTGACCTCCTCCTACAGTGTTCAGGGCTATCATGGTTGTCAACAATTGCACGTGCATGTAGGATGACAGAGTTTACAACAGTAGTAGAGGACAATACTGTTTCCCAACTGTAGGGGGAGCCCGAGAGCAAAAAACTACCTGTTGTTACTTTAAGATCAATTTCCAAAAGATGATTTTTTTATTCCTCTTTTTAGTCAACTTTAGCATTAGTGTGTTCACTTATGCTGAGCACTGTTTTATTTCAAAAATAAAATAAACACATACTCAAATATATCATAAAAAAAAATAATAATAATATTTGAATATGTTTTTTATTTTATATATTTTTCTACAAATAATTATTTATAATATAAATATATATATATATATATATATATATATATATATATTATAAATAATATAAACATATGTTCTAAAATATTTAAAAAATATATATATTTTATTTTATATTTATTTTATATAAAAAAGCATATTTACTAAAATATAAAAGACAAATAATAAAAAATAAAAAAACATTCTCAGACCTCTTTTGTTTTCAATTATATTTGTACACGCTCTCTCATGATGTGAAAGTCGTTTTCTTTTTCTGCAGTTCTGTTGTGTTTCTGTATGTCCTGATGACCTGTGCGTCTCTCTTATGCACTCAGAGGCACATTTAGGGGTTTAATCCGGTTTACACATGTTGACCACATGTTGTGTGTGTGTGTGTGTTTTATCCTGCTTTCCCAG